TGCTCTGCCGTGCTCTTCTGTGGTCTGCCGTGCTCCTGTGGGTTCCGCCGTGCTCCTGCGGCGTCTGCCGTGCTCCTGTGTGGTCTGCCGTGCTCCTTTGTGGTCTGCCGTGCTCCTGTGTGGTCTGCCGTGCTCCTGTGTGGCCTGCCGTGCTCTTGTGTGGTATGCCGTGCTCCTGTTGGTCTGCCGTGCTCTTCTGTGGTCTGCCGTGCTCCTATGGGGTCTGCCGTTGTTCGGCCGTCTTGAGGGCAATCTTAGGGCATAGTCTGCCGTGCTCCTCGTCTTGGTCTGCCGTGCTCCTCGTCTTGGTCATCCTTTCCGTCGTCTTGAGGGCGCTCTTGGTGCCTGGTCTGCCGTGCTCATCGTCTTGGTCTGCCGTGCTCCTCTCGGTTCCTAAGCCTGGTCTGCCGTGCTCCTCGTCTTGGTCTGCCGTGCTCCTCTCGGTTCCTACGCGCGGTTTGCCGTGCTCCTGTGAGGAGCACGGCAGACCACAGGAGCAAGGCAGACCACACAGGAGCACGGCAGACCACACCTCGATTTTTTGAGGATGTCTCGAGCGAAATGGCCGTGGTCTGCCGTGCTCCTCTCGGCGTGGTCTGCCGTGCTCCTCTCGGTTCCTACGCGCGGTCTGCCGTGCTCCTGTGGGGAGCACGGCAGACCACAGGAGCACGGCAGACCACACAGGAGCACGGCAGACCACACCTCGATTTTTTGAGGGTGTCTCGAGCGAAATGGCCATTTTGGGGAATCCGCCAACGAAAAATCCCGTGCGGCGCGGCAACCCATAGATATAAAGATATATATATATATATATATATATATTTACTCAAGGATTCAGCCAGAACGTCCCGCTTGCTTCTCGTACCTCGAAGACGCTTCCCGTCATCCCGTGCAGCGCGGCAACCCATAGATATAAAGATATATATATATATACTCAAGGATTCAGCCAGAACGTCCCGCTTGCTTCTCGTACCTCGAAGACGCTTCCCGTCATCCCGTGCAGCGCGGCAACCCATATAGTTAAAGAAAAGATATATTTACTCAAGGATTCAGCCAGAACGTCCCGCTTGCTTCTCGTACCTCGAAGACGCTTCCCGTCATCCGCCAGCGAGTTGCGGGATGGAATCGGTACCCCTTAGTTAGAGAAAATTAAGCCCCTGAACCAACGGTGCACGCCGGAGGCGCTTCCCGTCATCCGCCAACGAAAAATGGGATCCTTTGGGGGTGCTTAATTCCCCAGAACCAACGGTGCACGCCGGAGGCGCTTCCCGTCACCAGTGGAGGCAGGACGGTCCCAGCAGGTCGGAGGCCGTCTTGAGAGCAGCCTGGGCCGTCTTGGGGTCTCCGTGGGCCGTCTTGGGGCTCTCCGTGGGCCGTCTTGGGGGCCCCCTGGGGGCCATTTGGGGTCTCTTGGGGCCCTCCGTGGGCCGTCTTGGAGCCCTCCGGGGGCGACTCCAAGAGGATGTCGGTTCGGAGCCCCCTCCGGAGCCGATTTTTTGAGGATGTCCCGAGCGAAACGGCCAAAAAACAGAAACCTGACCGGACAAGAACGGGAAGCGCAGTTTTTTATCCACCACGTGCGTCAGAGACCGTATTGGCGAGAACGTCAGAGAACATCCCTGTTGCGTTTCCTGGCTTCGGCGCCGTCTTGGAGGTATCTTGGACGCTCTTGGGGCTGTCGTAGCCTCTGGCCTCTCGGGGGCCTCTTGGGGGAGTCCCGGGGGGGGCCTTGGGGGGCTCTATGGGGCGATATGAAGCTCTCAGGGAACTCCTGGAGCCTTTTCGCGCGTTCTGGGGGACTTCTGGCCGCCTCTTTGGAGCCCCTGGGGGGCTTCTTGGGGGTCTCTTGGGGCGTTTTGGGCGCTCTGGCGGGCCTCTGGCCTGACGCTGCTGTTGTTGGTGATGAACATGTTGCTGCTGATGGTGATGGTGATGCGTACGATGATGATAATAATGATGATGATGAGCAGGAGGATGATGATGAGTATGAGTATGAGTATGGTGATGATGGTGGTGATGATGATAATGATGATTACGATGACGATGACGATGAGGATGACGATGATGATACGAATGATGATTATACTTATGGTGATGGTGGCGATGGTGATGATGATGCTGAGGGTGTGGATGATGATGACGATGATGATCGTGGTCCTGGGCATGCGTATGATGATGATGATGATGATGATGATGATGATGATGATGATAATGATAATGATGATGATGATGATGATGATGATGATGATGATGATGATAGTGATGATGATGATGATGATGATGATGATGATGATGATGATGATGGACTTCTCGGGGTGTGCTTGGGAGATGTTGGGGTCCTCTGGAGAGCCTTTGGACTAGCAGTTTAAATCTGCGTAGCCGTTGTAACCCGACTCTCGTTTTCTTCATCGGTCTGACAGGTTTATCAGCTTACACGGCACAGCGCAGCAACACGACAGACGGCAGCAGCACGGCAGACCAGGAAGGCAGACCACAGGAGCACGGCAGACCAGAACGGCAGACCAGAACGGCAGACCGCAGGAGCACGGCAGAGCAGCACAGCTGACCACAGGAGAACGGCAGACCAGCACAGCGTTGTTGCAGCAGACGGTGCTGATACACTCTTAATCTATTGAACACGTCCCCAGCGAAATCGTCATGGTCGGCCGTATTGAGGGCACTCTGCGGGTCATCTTTGGGCCGATTTTGTTTTTGGGGGGCCGTACTGATGCCCTCAAAAACGATTCCAAGACGACGTAGACTCATTGTTTGTTTGATGATTGTTCGGCCGTCTTGAGGGCACTCTTAGGGCATAGTCTGCCGTGCTCCTCGTCTTGGTCTGCCGTGCTCCTCGTCCTGGTCATCCTTTCCGTCGTCTTGAGGGCGCTCTTGGTGCCTGGTCTGCCGTGCTCCTCGTCTTGGTCTGCCGTGCTCCTCTCGGTTTCAAGATGATGTTGCGAACATAGCCTCCAACACCTCGATTTTTGGAGGATGTCTCGAGCGAAATGGCCATTTTGGGGAACCTGACCGGACAAGAACGGGAAGCGTCCTTTTGTCCCCTGGGCTTATGAGATATTCCACGTTTTTAGTACGGCATACCACAGCCGTGCCACGTACCACTGCCGTGCTTCTTTGGGGTCTGCCGTGCTCCTGTGGAGTTTGCCGTGCGAACGTGTGGTCTGCCGTGCTCCTGTGTGGTCTGGCGTGCTACTGTATGGTCTGCCGTGCTATTGTGTGGTTTGCCGTGCTCCTGTGTGGTCTGCCGTGCTCCCGTGGGGTCTGCCGTGTCCTGTGTGGTCTGCCGTGCTCCTGTGTGGTCTGCCGTGCTCCTGTGTGGTCTGCCGTGTTCCTTCTTGGTCTGCCGTGCTCATGTGCGGTCTGCCGTGCTCCTGTGCGGTCTGCCGTGCGAACGTGTGGACTGCCGTGCTCATTTGGGGTCTGCCTTGCTCCTTTGTGGTTTGCCGCACTCCTGTGTGGTCTGCCGTGCTCCTGTGTGGTCAGCCGTGCTCCTGAGGCGTCTACGGTGCTCTTTTGGGGTCTGCCGTACTCATTTGGGGTCTGCCGTGCTCCTGTGGTCGGCCGTGCTCATTTGGGGTCTGCCGCGCGCCTGTGAGATCTGCCGTGCCCCTGTTGGGGAAACGCCAGCGGCGTTCGGGGTACAACAAAAAGGCGCGTTTATGTTGTACCCGCGCGCGGTCTGCCGTGCTCCTGTGGGTTCCGCCGTGCTCCTGTGGCGTCTGCCGTGCTCCTTTGGGGTCTGCCGGGCTCCTGTGTGGTCTGCCGTGCTCCTTTGTGGTCTGCCGTGCTCCTGTGGAGTCTGCCGTGCTCCTGTGTGGTCTGCCGTGCTCTTGTGGTCTGCCGTGCTCATTTGGGATTTGCCGTGCTCGTGTGGGGTCTGCCGTACTCCTGTGTGGTCTGCCGTGCTCCGGTGGTCTGCCGTGCTCCTTTGGGGTCTGCCTTGCTACTGTGGGGACTGCCGTGCTCCTGTGTGGTCTGCCGTGCTCCTGTGGTTTGCCTTGCTCCTGTGTGGTCTGCCGTGCTCCTTTTGGGTCTGCTCTGCCGTGCTCCTGTGGGGTCTGCCGTGCTCCTGTGGGGTATGCCGTGCTCTTGTGGGGTCTGCCGTGCTCTTGTGTGGTCTGCCGTGCTCCTTTGTGGTCTGCCGTGCTCCTGTGTGGTCTGCCGTGCTCCTGTGTGGCCTGCCGTGCTCTTGTGTGAGCTGTGAGCTGTGAGCTGCGGGGCCTATGAAGGCTAAAGGAAGCCCGAGGCCCGCGGAGCCCATTGGCCCCAGGGCCTCAAGGGCCAGCCCTAGGGGCCCCAAAGGAGCCACCGCAGGGGAGGGCGCGAAGCGCCAAACGCGCGAAGCGCACGATTTCAAAGAAATCAAGAAGGCAGCAGAGGCAGAGGCGCGCTCGCCCGCCCAACATGCCCCCAACGCTGCAAGTGCAACAATGGGCAGAAGTGCTGCCTCACGCACTGAAAAGAAAAGGAAGACGAGGGGCGGACACAACAGAAGGAGAAGAAGATGCTGCGTCACACCCCCTCGTCACCATCAGCACGGCGGCGTCTATTGCGCCTGTCCACACGCGCCGTCTCAGCCGCGGCTGACCGATCATGGAGGCTCGCCTCTCAAGGCCGTAGGCGCTCAGCGAGGCCTCCCTCGTGGCCCCCGCGGGGCCAGGCGACTGTGGCTCCGCCGCCGCCTCGCCAGCCGCCGCCGCGCCGCTGGGGGGCCCACAGCCGGCGCCAGCGCCCTCGCCGCAAGGGGCGCCCACGGGGCGGACCCCCAGCCTCTGAAGGAAGCGCGCCCTGGCTTCCATCGGCACCACGTCCTCCTTGCGAAGGCAGGGTACTGACGCGCCGACCCTCTTGCTGCCGCTGTGGGGCGTGCCAGGAGAGGCCGACCTTCAACCGCTTCTTCGTCGCCTCCTGCGTCCCGCATTCCACGGCACCGAAGGCGCTCTGAGCGGGCCAATGGGGCCAATGGGCGGAGGCTGCCCTACCCGCTGCAGCTCGGCCAGCCACGCCCGCAGGCACACGTAGTCGTAGCGCCGCGTGCAGTCCGACACGATCCTCTGCGACCGCGTCAGCGTGTGGCGCCACCTGTAGTAGGCACGCCTCGCAGGCATGCCAGTCCCCCAGGCCCGCTCGCAGATCTCCTCGGCCATCTCCTCGGCCGTCCTCCCACGCGCCCGCAGCCTGGTGGCGAAGCGTGGCTGGGACAGGATCTGCATGACGTAGCCGACGCAGTGGTCGAGCCACTCGCTGTAGCATTCCATCGTCTCGCCGACCTCGGGAGCCTGGGTCCAGTACCGCGCCCATCCAGCGACCTGCAGCTCAAGCCTGGGCGCGACGCTGCGCCTCGGCTGCGCTGGCTCAGGCCGAGCCACCGCAGCACTGCCAGCACTCAGGGCGGGGCCGCACACACGGTCGGCACTTGCAGGTCCCCCGCCACCCCTGGTGCTGGCCAAGCACATGCCGTCGCGGTCCGCGTCGCTTCCTGGGCAGTGGGTGCACGCCTTCAGCTCCTGCTCGGCTTCGCCGTCTCCGCACCTGGCGAAGGCCATCCCCTGCCAGCTGAGGGAGGCTTGCGCCACCCAGCATGAGAGCTCCCTCGCCACCTCCATCATGCCGAAGAACCCGCGCCTGGCCACAGCGCTAGCGCGGTGCAGCTCCGCACCTGCCTTGGCCCAGCGGTCGCCATGACCGTTGCCGAGGAGGTAGGCTTCCGTGACCTTGCCAACCAGCACGTCTCTGGCGGTACAGTGAGCTGCAAACTCGGCCACCTTGAGCGTGCCCACGTCCAGCGAAGCGAAGATCCCCTCCCTGAGATGGGCATTGGGCTTGCAGGCTGCCGTCGCGTACCTTTGGCCCAACGTGAGACAGCTGACCGTAGCCGCACAGTCGATGGGGATCTCCTCCACACTCGGACCCAGGAAGCGAGCAAACATCCTGGAGGCGAAGCAGGACAGGGCGATGAGGGTGCACCCCGACGCCCTCGAGCGTGGTGGCGCAGGAGGCCGTGCAGGCTGCCAACGCCGCTGACGCCACGAACCAGACGTAGAGGTGGTCACAGCCCTCGGCATGGCACGTCGCCTCCGAGGGCCCCAGGACGTGTCCCCGCACCGCCAACGCCATCCCAACTCCACGAGGGGCTCAGGCTCCATGTTGAAGTCGGCTTGGAGGACCCACGGGATGTCGGCAGAGACGCCCGTCACTTCCGAGATGGCCGAAAACAAGTCCAGGTTGGTGCCTCGCGGGCCCACAGAGTGCTGGAAAGGCCCAGATGGCGCCAGGAACCGAAGGCCCGAGGCGGTGGCAACCTCCACACAGCTGAGGCGGTGCCGCAAGGCCGAGGGCAGCGAGAACGCCGACTCGTCGGCCTGCAACCCGTATCGCACCAGGATCGCCGCGGCGCCTGAGGTCGCCTGGGGCCCCTGCTTGCCCGTCAGCGCTGCCTCGGGGAGGAAGGCCACGAAGCCCAGGCCGCGGCCCTGAGCCGCCGCACTGGGCAGGCGCTCATGCGGGAGCCTCGTCACCTGCAGCGCCTCCACGTCGGGCCAGTAGTAGCACGTCTTGAAGAAGGCCTCAATGGCCTCAATACTCCTGCTCCACGTGTTGCCGTTGCAGCCGAACAAGGCGAGGCCAGCTCGAAGCAGCTTGCCTCCTGCCCTGCCAACCATCGGCACCTTGCCGATGCCGGCTGCCACGCGGAATGCGCGCTGACCAGCGCCCGACACAGGGCGCGCCGCGCCCCTGGTCGCGGGACCCTCCGCCCCCACCAGGACTGGAGGGGGGACCTGGCCCCGCGCTCCAGCGCTCCTCATCGGCGTCGGCGGGCCGCAGGCCAGCACGGGTGGTGGCCGCCACTGAGGAGGTGGCCGTCCCTCGACCCCTCCGGTTGCCCGCGGGGGGTGCCCCTGCCCTTCACCATCGGGGCCGAGAGCTGCGACGTCGTGGGGCTGAATCCCACCGCTCTCGGTCCCTGACTGGCCGTCGGGGGGCCACCTCGGTGTTCCCGACCGCGCCAGTTGGCTACCTCGGGCAGGGGTGCTCGGCGCCGCCCGCCGCCTGCGAGGGCCGCGGGCGCGCCAGCGGCCGTCACAGCGCCTCCTCCACCTGTCCCAGCAGCTAGGCCCTCGCACGTCCCGAGGGAAGGGCGCTCCGCTGTCCACGACGTCGAGGTCGGCGGTGGAAGCTGACCACTCCGACGCTCTCGCATCACACGCGGCGCGGCCCGTATCCAGCAGCAGGAGCAACCACAGCAGCCGCAGCCACCAAGGGGTCGCTGTCCGCGAGGGCCGCCCCTTGCTCAGCGAGGGCCTTGGCGAGGCACGGCTCCACCAGAGGCCACGTGCCCAGGGTCGCCCCGTGCTGGCCGCGGGCCGCTGCAGGGCCGCAGGGCCCGTCCGCTGACCTGGCCCGCGGGGCTGGCGGCCCAGCCGCAGTAGGCCCTGTCTGCGGGGCTGCAGCGGGCGGGGCGGCCGCGGGCCCCCCAGAGGCCACGATGTCAAGCGGCATGTCGTCATCCTCGGACGCGAGGCCATCGTCCCCGACGCTGTCGCCCCAACGCGTCCTGGCCGAGCTGCTGCGGGGCCTGAGCACCTCGGCGACCGCCTCCTTCTGCGTGTTGAGAATCCCGACGATCTCGGAAAGCCTAGGGGGCAGCTCCGACCCATGCTGCTTGAGGAGGTCCGAAAGGGCGCCGACCTGAGTGAGCAGCCCTTGGACTGCGTCCCCAAGCGGGCACGGAACCCCATCCGACGGCCGCGTTGGCCCGCTGGATCGCTTGCTGCGTGACCTTGGCTCTGGTATCCTCCAGCTCGGCAATCTGCCCCGCGACCTCATCCACTCCCAACTCGGCTGCCGACAGCAGCTCCTGCTTCTCCGCGATGAGTTCGCGCAGCTCGGACGCCTGCAGCTGGAGCTTCTCCTTCTTGGTGCGTGCCGCGGCCAGCTGGCGCTCGACCTTCTGAATGGCGTTGGCCTCGATGTGGAGCACCGAGTGAGGTGGGCGCTCCGTCCGCTGGGCTTCCTGGACGGCCAGCTCAAGGGCGACGACCTGGTCCTTGCCCAGCTGGAGGGCGCTCTCCACCTCACGCTGGAAGTCCGCCGAGAGCCCGAGCGCCAGGGCCCCCTGGAGCTTGTCGACGCGCTCTCTAGCCGCCACGAGCTGCGCCTGCAGCTCCTCGAACTGGGACTTGGCCTCTCCCCAAGGCCGCACACGCCGTGCCCTGCTGTTGGGGGTGCTGCTGGGCGCGGTGCTCCCAGAGAGGGCCCGCTGGGAGGCCGAGCGCCTCGCAGCCCGCTGTTCGGCCCTCCCCCTGGGTTGCTGTACGAACCCGTCAGCGTCCACTCTTGGGGGGCCCTTGTCGGTACGGTACTCCTTCGTCCATGGGGGAGCACTGGTGCCACACACCTTGCACGACCAGCGCTTGTCACACCAGTTCCAAGCGTTGCAGCCACGCTTAGCACACAACCAGTACGCCCGCCTGGCCAGCCCCGAGGCAACCTCCGACATGGCGGCACGCCGCGGGACTGACTGCTGCTCGGCCGAAACTCTCGGCCCTGCAGGAACGAGGAGAACCAAAATTGGCGAAGCTTCTGGCTCTTGGCGAAGCGCCCCTCGCGCTCCAGAACGCCCGACGGACTCGCGGTCGTCGGGTGCGCCATGGCCTTGAGCCAAATTGGCTACGGACCGTGCTCTTGTGTGGTCTGCCGTGCTCCTGTTGGTCTGCCGTGCTCTTCTGTGGTCTGCCGTGCTCCTATGGGGTCTGCCGTGATTCCTGTGGGTGCTGCCATGTGCTCAGGTGTGGTCTGCCGTTGCGGGGGTGCGGTCTGCGTGCCTCTTGGCGTCTGCGTGCTCCTGTGTGGTAGCCGTGCCTCTGTGGTCTGCGGCTCATTTGGGGTCGCCGCCAGCTTGGTGGGGTCTTTGTTGCTCCTCGTGGGAAACGCCAGCGTGGCGGCGTTCGGGTTACAAGAAAAGGCGCGTTTATGTTGTAAACGCGCCGCGGTCTGCCGTGCCTGTGGGATTGCCGTACTCCTGTGTGGTCTGCCGTGCCTCTGTGTGTTGCACCGTGCCTTTCTGTGGTCGCGTGCCGCGCAGTACCGTTGCCCGTGCTCCTGTGGGTCTGCCGTGCTACTGTGGGGTCTGCCGTGACTGGTTGAGGTCTGCGGTGCTCTTGTGTGGTCTGCAGTGCTTCTGTGTCTGCCGTGCTCATTTGGGATCTGCCGTGCTCGTGTGGTGTCTGCCGTGCTCAACCATATAGTTAAAGAAAAGATATATTTACTCAAGGATTCAGCCAGAACGTCCCGCTTGTTCGGCCGTCTTGAGGGCACTCTTAGGGCATAGTCTGCCGTGCTCCTCGTCTTGGTCTGCCGTGCTCCTCGTCTTGGTCATCCTTTCCGTCGTCTTGAGGGCGCTCTTGGTGCCTGGTCTGCCGTGCCTCTCGTCTTGGTCTGCCGTGCTCCTCTCGGTTTCAGTGCCTGGTCTGCCGTGCTCCTCGTCTTGGTCTGCCGTGCTCCTCTCGGTTCCTGCGCGCGGTCTGCCGTGCTCCTGTGGGGAGCACGGCAGACCACAGGAGCACGGCAGACCACACAGGAGCACGGCATACCACACCTCGATTTTTTGAGGATGTCTCGAGCGAAATGGCCATTTTGGGGAACCTGACCGGACAAGAACGGGAAGCGCCATTTTTTATCCACCACGTGCGTCAGAGACCGTATTGGCGAGAACGTCAGAGAAACCCATAAACGCAACAGAACAGACTAAATGGTGGCCTGCCGCGCTGGTCTGTCGAGGTAGTCTGCTGCCCTGGCCACATCATGGTGTCGACACCGGGCTTTTCTCTCGGCCACGCGGGCCCCCACCCGTTGTCGCCCAGCCTACTTTTTTATCTGTTCCAGCGTCTTGCTTTTGTTTGTCCGTCGTCGTAGTCGCGTGACTTTCCTTTCTAGTCGGACTTGTTAGTTAGTTATTCGTCGTTTTAGTATACGTCATTCATTCCGAAGTTTTCAGGTTAGTTTATATTATGTTAGTTTTTTTCTCGTTCTCGTTCCATCTTCTCGTCTTCGTCTTCGCTTTGTTTCTTACGTTCTTCGTCTTTCGTCGCTTACTTTTTCGTCTTCGTCGTTCGCTGTTTCGTCGTTTTCATTATAATCGTCCGCTGTTGCCGTTCTCGCTGTCGCCGTCGCTATCATTTTATGATTGCGGTCGTTTTTCTGATTGTTTTTTTGTTGTTGGATTCCGTGTTCGGTTGGTTTTTGTGTTATGTTTGTGGTCGTTTTCTGTCATCGTTTTTTGTCGTAATTTTCGAGATCGTAATTGACGAAGACGACGACGACGACGATGACGACGACGACGATCTGCCGTGCTTCTGTGGCGTCTGCGGTGCTCCTGTGGTCTGCCGTGCTCCTTCTTGGTTTGCCGTGCTCCTGTGTGGTCTGCCGTGCTCCTGTGCGGTCTTCCGTGCTCCTGTGGTCTGCCGAGCTCCTTTGGGGTCTGCCGAGCTCCAGTGGAGTTTGCCGAGCGAACGTGTGGTCTGCCGTGCTCCTGTGTGGTATGCAGTGCTCCTTGTCGGTAGTCTGCCGGCTCTGTGGGTTTGAGTGTCATGGTGGTACTGCGTGCTCCGAGGGTCTCGCCGTGGTGTCCCTGTGTGGTCTGCCGTGCTCCTGTGTGGCTGCTCGTGCCTGTGTGGTCTGTGCCTGTTGCTCCCATTTCTTGGTCTGCCGTGCTCATGTGCGGTCTGCCGTGCTCCTGTGCGGTCTGCCGTGCGAACGTGTGGACTGCCGTGCTCATTTGGGGTCTGCCTTGTTCCTTTGTGGTTTGCCGCGCTCCTGTGTGGTCTGCCGTGCTCCTTGTGTGGTCAGCAGACCCAGGGCTGAGGGAAGGCTGGAGCAGTGCTCTGGTGGTCCTTCACCCGCCCAGCTCCGTCCCCTCCCACTCTGGACCGATCTTGCGGGAAGCTGGCTTGTGGCAGCGCATCGCGCGTCGGCCGCCAGCCCAGGTGCCGGCCCGGGCGTTCGGTTCGAGCGACGGCCTGGGTGCCGGAATCGGCCCGGAAGGGGTTCCAGGGCGCCGGGAGCAGAAAATCAATATTTTCGAAAGAAAAATATGTCTTGGAGTGGCCTTTTTTCCGCACCGCCTCGGAATTCAATTTTCCAGCGCCGGCCGGCGACGGAACCGGGGCCCGGGCGATGGGGGGGGGGGGGGGGGGGGGGGGGGGGGGGGGGGGTCCCGGGCGCTGGCCCGGGTGCTGGCCCAGGCGTTCGGTTCGAGCGCCGGCCCGGGTGCCGGAAGCGGCCCGGAAGGGGTTCCCGGGCGCCGGGAGCAGAAAATCAATATTTTCGAAAGAAAAATATGTTTTGGAGTGGCCTTTTTTCGGCACCGCCTCGGAATTCAATTTTCCGGCGCCGGCCGGCGCCGGAACCGGCCCGGGCGCTGGCCCGGGTGCTGGCCCGGGCGGTTGGCTCGAGCGCCGGCCCGGGTGCCAGAAGCGGCCCGGAAGGGGTTCCCGGGCGCCGGGAGCAGAAAATCAATATTTTCGAAAGAAAAAATATGTCTTGGAGTGGCCTTTTTTCGGCACCGCCTCGGAATTCAATTTTCCGGCGCCGGCCGGCGCCGGAACCGGCCCGGGCGCTGGCCCGGGTGCTGGCCCGGGCGTTTGGATCGAGCGCCGGCCCGGGTGCCAGAAGCGGCCCGGAAGGGGTTCCCGGGCGCCGGGAGCAGAAAATCAATATTTTCGAAAGAAAAATATGTCTTGGAGTGGCCTTTTTCGGCACCGCCTCGGAATTCAATTTTCCGGCGCCGGCCGGCGCCGGAACCGGCCCAGGCTGCCGTGCTCCTGTGTGGTCAGCCGTGCTCCTGAGGCGTCTACGGTGCTCTTTTTGGGGTCTGCCGTACTCATTTGGGGTCTGCCGTGCTCCTGTGGTCGGCCGTGCTCATTTGGAGTCTGCCGCGCGCCTGTGAGATCTGCCGTGCTCCTGTTGGGGAAACGCCAGCGGCGTTCGGGGTACAACAAAAAGGCGCGTTTATGTTGTACCCGCGCGCGGTCTGCCATGCTCCTGTGGGTTCCGCCGTGCTTCTGTGGCGTCTGCCGTGCTCCTGTGGCGTCTGCCGGGCTCCTGTGTGGTCTGCCGTGTTCCTTTGTGGTCTGCCGTGCTCCTGTGGAGTCTGCCGTGCTCCTGTGTGGTCTGCCGTGCTCTTGTGGTCTGCCGTGCTCATTTGGGATTTGCCGTGCTCATGTGGGGTCTGCCGTATTCCTGTGTGGTCTGCCGTGCTCCGGCGGTCTGCCGTGCTCCTTTGGGGTCTGCCTTGCTACTGTGGGGTCTGCCGTGCTCCTGTGTGGTCTGCCGTGCTCCTGTGGTTTGCCTTGCTCCTGTGTGGTCTGCCGTGCTTCTGCGGTGCTCTTGTGGGGTCTGCCGTGCTCTTGTGTGGTCTGCCGTGCTCCTTTGTGGTCTGCCGTGCTCCTGTGTGGTCTGCCGTGCTCCTGTGTGGCCTGCCGTGCTCTTGTGTGGGCTGTGGGCTGCGGGGCCTATGAAGGCACAAGGAAGCCCGAGGCCCACGGAGCCCATTGGCCCCAGGGCCTCAAGGGCCAGCCCTGGGGGCCCCGAAGGAGCCCCGGCAGGGGAGGGCGCGAAGCGCCAAACGCGCGAAGCGCACGATTACTAAGAAATCAGGAAGGCAGCAGGGGCAGGGCCGGGCACGTCCGCCCAGCAAGCCCCCCGCTGCAGGTGCGCCATGGGCAGAAGAGCTGCCTCACGCACAGAGAGGAAAAGGGTGACGAGGGGCGGATACAACAAAGGAAGAAGATGATGCTGCAACCCTACCCCTCGTCACCAACGGCGCGGCGGCGCCTCGTGCGCCTGCCATCGCTCGCCGTCTCAGCCGCGGCTGACCATTCACCGCTTCTACGTCGCCTTCTGCGCCCAACATGCCACGGCACCGAAGGCGCTCGGAGCGCTCTGAGCGGGCCAATGGGCGGAGGCTGCCCTTCCCACTGCAGCTCGGCCAGCCGCGTCCTCAGGCACACATAGTCATAGCGCCGCATGCAGTCCGACACGATCCTCTGCGACCGCGTCAGCGTGCGGCGCCACCTGAAGTAGGCACGCCTCGCAGGCATGCCAGTCCCCCAGGCTCGCTCGCAGATCTCCTCGGCCAACTCTTCGGCCGTCCTCCCACGCGCCCGCAGCCTGGTGGCGAAGCGCGGCTGGGACAGGATCTGCGCGACGTAGCCGACGCAGTGGTCCATCCACTCGCTGTAGCATTCCAACGTCACGCCGACCTCGGGAGCCTGGGTCCAGTGGCGCGCCCAGCCAGCGACCTGCAGCTCAAGCCTGGGCGCGACGCTGCGCCTCGGCTGCTCTGGCTCAGGCCGAGCCACCGCAGAGCCAGGGCTTCGCTCCTTGAGCTCGGGCGCCGCGCCTGTGCGCCCGTCAAGCCTCACGGTCGCCCCGCAGTGGGTGCACGCCATCCGCACCTGATCGGCTGCGCCGACTCCGCTCTTGGCGAGGGCCACCCCC